TTTATTTTATTAAGATTTGTCATGTTATTTAATCAATATTTTTTTGTAAAATATGGATAGTACAATAGAATGTTGAAGAATAAGAAAAAAAAACTGCCTGTTTAAAAATAAGAAATAAGTTAAAAAAAATATGCACAGCTTATGTTGTTGGTATTTTTGTTTATTTTATTAGGATTTATGTTATTTAATCAATATTACTTGATGGTTCTTTCTAATTGTTTGAGAAATTTACTAGCAATTTCTGCATGAAATCTGTTTCTAAACCAAATTTTTGTTTTATTATGCAAACAGATATCCTACTTACAGGTGACAAATCAAATACAAAATAACCAAGGTCAACAAAACATACATGACAGCCAACATGATTTGTGTGAGTGTGTGTGTAAGTGTAACTGGGTTTGAATTCGATTTTATTTCTATATTCTCTGTTTTCATTTTCATTTTAGTTAAAGTTTTAGTCAATTTGTTATGTTTTTTGTTGTTTTTGTTAATATGTCTATATAATTTTTAATAAACTTTTTTAATTACAGTATTTTAGTACAATGAGAACAATGAGGGATTTTTAACAAGGCTGTTGACAAAGCTAGTTTTAGCAGAATTAGAATAAGTAAGGTTTTCTATACTTTATTTTACTACAGTTAATGTTTATTTTATTTTAATGAAAAGATTTGGTTTATGGGTTTTAGTTAATAAAGAAATTCCGTTTTAATATGAAAGAACATTTTTACATTTTCTAAAGAAAATTTACCATGGGAACACTGGGTACGAGCAGATGATCAGAGTGGGTTAAACTCATAAAAACACATTTCTTTCATGCAGTTTTAATAAATAAATGCGGGTTTTCAAGTTTCAGACATTTTCATCAACAAACTATATTTTAACCCTAGACTACTGTATCATATTTGATGCACAAATGTTTACATGTTCTAAAGAAAATATGAGCGACCAGATCTAATGGGTTCCTCCTTAAAGGAGACATATTATGCCCCTTTTTACAATATGTTATATAAGTCTCTAGTGTCCCTAGAATGTATCTGTGAAGTTTCAGCTCAAAATACTCCACAGAACATTTATTATATAATTTTGAAAATGCCTATTTTGAGTGGAAGCAGAAACCCGCCGTTTTTCGTGCCTGTCTCTTTAAATGCAAATGAGCTGCTGCTCCCCACCCCCTTTTCCAGAATAGAGCTGCATGCGCCATTACAGCTCATACCTACTAAAAAACATCTGCTTTGGTTCTGATTATCATGTTTATCACGCTGAAATCATACGTTTTAAACCATATTAATTTAAACTTCGGTTTTCTGAGTGCACACATCCGAAGCACACGGACAGAAAGCGGCTGTCACAGCATGCGAGTACTAAACTAAGTTCTCATTCACACACAAGTTTACATTAAACACACATGAGTTACAAAAAAACAGTCGGGTATGTCTGTGAAGGTAAACAGCTGGGAAATAAATTGCATGTTTATTTTAGATCTGTGTGGCAGCAGCAATATACAGTAAATAAATCAATAAATCCACTGCTTCTCTGAGGCTGGGACTCTAAATAGTGTTCTGTGCTCGTCTGTGCAGCCAAAGACAGAACAGTTAGCATGTTTTGCTCAAACTTTCTCCATGGCATTAGAACTGGTACACCTTTGTCGCTTGCAAAATCAAATGAAGGCGCTGTGGGTGGAAACTCACAGATTAAGGGGCGGTAATATTATAATGAGATCCCTTTGCAACGTCACGAGGGGAGTGAAATCAGACGCCCTCATTTTTTCAGACGCTTGCAGAAAAAGGCTTACCAAAACAAAGTTACTGGGTTAATCGTTTTCATGCTTCCTTGGTTGGTAGATGCACCGGGGACCTGATTATAGCACTTAAAACCTGGAAAAGTCAGATTTTCATGATATGTCACCTTTAAATGCAAGTCTGTGCTGTTGTGTTTGTTTACCTGTTTTATCATCTGCCAAGTGAAAATCATGAGTCTGATTGCATTTTAAAAAAGCATCTATCATGCCTAATAAACAATAACCCAGCCTTGCACACGTACCCTCATAAGCGGGTCTTCTAATGATTGGCCTGCATTGGATATGGCCTCCTTGGACACAACTGAATCCCCATTTGCCTGGATCTCCAACACGGCCATCTGAAGGAGTTTACATATTATTCCATAAGGGACTTGTCACATTTCAGTGCTGTAAAGAGCTGTATGTAATAACACTGCCAGCTCATGCTTTGTTGGTATCTCACCTCCAAAGCACAAATCCCAAAGGAAAAGATGTCAATGGCGTAGTCATCTTCACACGCTACAGAGAAGGAAATATAAAATATATAAACCCAAAAATACTTGTATGTCCGGTCTAAACAAATATCCAGTAGAAAATGCAGTGAAGAAGTGGTCACACTCACAGCCATACTCTGGACTGAAGAAGTGCAGGTTCCTCTTGTCATCTCGGTTTTGGTGTAGTTTACCACGGACGCCCCCTTCTGGGAACACTTGGTAAGAGCAGAGGATCAGTGTGGGTCAAGGTCTCATAAAAATACATTTCTTTATTAAAATAGAGTTTTCAGCCATTTTCATTAACAACTATATTACATTTAACCCTATAAAGCCTACTGTATCATTTTATACGCAAATGTACACAATCTACTATTCCTTCTGTCGTCTAAATTGATAGTTTATCATTTTAAAGCAAGTAAAAGGCCTTTTTGTATCATTTTAATAACATCTGCCTTCAGGTTGTGGTTCACATGTTTTGCTGTCAAATTTTTAATGATGTCTAAACGTGAAAGTAGCTTTTATATTGCAAGCAATAGTTCAAAACTAACTCTTACTGAAGCAACTTAGCTTTACTTGGTTATCCTTATTTAAATCATATTAAAATGTAAGTATCAAATATGATCTCTCAATCATCATTTTATTGTGTTGCATTATGTTTTGCTGCCCGTAATGAAAACATCATGAAATTAAGCATTTAAAGATCATCTTAGTAAGACATATTATTGGGAGATAATATATTTATATTCATATTAATTTTATGTAAGCCGTCTGTTATAAAGATCTCATCACCTTACATTACAAGCTATTAAAATTTCATCGTACTTTTTGACCATATAAATATCAACAACTGTAACAAATGGCATATTTTTTGCTCAGTTTGGGCCTCTGAATAAAATGTATGTTTTTTTCCTCCTTGAGTATGATCTTTATATTCTTCTATGTATGAAATATGATGCTCAGTTAAAAAAACACATATGCAAACCTTTTTTACTAAGAGTTTTTGTAAATAGTTTGTCTAAAGGTTAAAAAAAATTCTCAAAAATTTGACTTTTTTTTTTTAGATTGAATATACATTCGCATGAAAAGTTTTGGTTTTATGGTAAATTTGTTCATATTGCATCCTGAATGAGGTGTTAAAATGGCTCTTACCATTCACAAAGAGTCGATGCCAAACTACAGAGAAAAAACAGAAATTAAAGAAGACCATGGATGATGATTATACAGATTTCGTTATTTCATTACCTTCATTTTTGTGCGCATAAGTGCTCCATAAACACTGGTTTACTTTTCAGTCAAGAAACATTTGTTTTTAATTGGATCTAAATGTTTGCATAAACATTTTTTTCATAATTCTTTCAAACAATAAATGTGCTTTCTCAGTCAAAAATTAGACTAAAGAGTGGATATTTCACTTAAGAGGAGAAAACAAAAAGGCTGAAAGTGCACGAAAAAAATATACCTGATCCAATTTTAATGAGGCCGTTGTGTTGAATGAAGATGGTGTCACATGTGAGGTTTCCGTGAATTATGGGAGGGTCACAGGAGTGCAGGTAACTGATAAGTGGAAGAAGTTGCATGCTTGTTAACAAATTTTCATGTCTGAACACACACAAGCACACACACACACACACAAATGAAGGAGTGTGTCACCTGAGGGCAGAGAGGATCTGTGTACACCAGCGTTTCCAAGCCTGAAATACAGTAATGTATCACAAAAATCACAGCATTGCACAATAATAATCATGTAAACTGATAAGTGGAAGAAGTTGCATGCTTGTTAACAAATTTTCATGTCTGAACACACACAAGCACACACACACACACACACAAATGAAGGAGTGTGTCACCTGAGGGCAGAGAGGATCTGTGTACACCAGCGTTTCCAAGCCTGAAATACAGTAATGTATCACAAAAATCACAGCATTGCACAATAATAATCATGTGTAAGGTCTTTTATGTTACGTACTGGTCTTTGTGTACATAAAAGTGAAGTAGTTGATGTAATTACAAGTGAAGTAAGTCATGTAATTTCTGTGCCACTGCACCAAACTGCAAAAATAATGATTGAAAAAAAAAATGACACAATTCTTTTTTTTTTTTCACTGTCACAACAATAGAGTAACTGAGAGCAGTGTGTCTCTGTGTGTGTTACCCGAGCATGATTGTCCCCGATGTCCAGCCAATATTTGTGAAATTTGACGATGTTTGGATGATCCACCTGCATCAGGTTCTCAAACATCTCCTTCATTTTGTCCTACACAAATACAACACACAAATATACAAAATCAAACACATTTGAGCATGTTAATCATTTTAACTATCACGTACACTACTGTTCAAAAGTTCGGGGTCAGTATGATTTTTAAAGAAATTAATGCTTTTATTCAGCAAAGATAAACTAAATTGATCAAAAGTTACAGTAAGGACATTTATAATGTTACAAAAATGTCTATTTCAAACTAATACTGCTCTTTTAATCGTTCCATCAAAGAACGCTTAAAATAATGTAGCACGGTTTCGAGAAAAAGTATCAAGTAGTATAACTGTTTTCAGCATTGCTAATAATAATAATAAATGTTCTTGAGCAGCAAATCAGCATATTAAAATGATTTCTGAAAGATCATGTGACACTGAAGACTGGAGTAATGATGCTGAAAATTCAGCGTTGCATCACAGGAATAAATTACATTTTAAATCATATTTAAATAGAAAATTTTTTTTTTTAATTATAACACAATATTACTATTTTACTGTATTTTTGAGCAAATACATGCATCCTTAGTGAACATAAGAGACTTCTTTTAAAACACCTTACCAACCCCAAACGGTTTTGAACATTTGAACAGAAATGTTTTTTTGAGCTCTCACCTCCACTGTCTTGAAGACCTTCTTGTCATGGAAGAGAACCTCATTCCAGACCACCTCAACACCCTCTTCAGTGTCCATGGCCAGAGAGGCGCTCTCCACTCCAGGAACATTGCCCTGACTCACCTGCAGGGGGAGACAAATAGTCACTTTTAACATCCACAGTCCATTCCACTGTAAGTAACCTAAAAATTCACAATATCCTCTTATGAGCACTGGAATAAAGTAAGTGATGTGTCACTTGAGTGGGGAAATTATCAGCTGCTGAATTTAAATGTAATGTGACGTAAGTATTTAAAATACTATCAGCTGCATTGATTGTAGTGAAAGACATACAATATATTGATCAGACTGATCAGCATTCTGTCTAGTGTCTTTTCTAGAGTTTTATAATCATTTATAAATAATATATATATTTTAAATATATAAGACATGCTGTTTTTAAATATTTAAAAATTAATAATGTAAAATTAGTTTTATTTTTTAATCATTTATTTTATATTTTATAAAATAAATGTATATTTTTTATATATATTTTAATATATAACATTTTATTTAAGATTTTTTAATCAATTCTGTTTACATCTTTAAATTTAATTAAATGATCACATTATGTAAATCAGCATTGACCATTAAAAACTGGCATTTATTGACCAATATTTGTTTGGACATCCAATTCTTTTGTTAACCTCTTTTCAAATCAAAATTTGAAAGTATAATTTATCTAACTGACTTCAAAGGGATATTTTGTGATTTTCAGAGAGAAAAGGTTACATTTGAATTTGGATTAGAGCCTTAGAGAGAGAGAGAGTGAGAGAGATGCCAGAGAGACATAGAGAGGAGGATCCTGCTGAGAGAGGGATAATGACTAAAGAGATGAGACGAAAGAGAGAGACAGCAAATCGTGAGAAAGTGCACACACGCCTCTGCCGAGTCATGCATGTCTCACACTTCATCTCTGCCTGTGTGCATGTGAGCAGACAAATATACAGTGTGTCCCCATCTGCAACTGTCTGTACTAGTATGACTAATAAATGCATTTGTCTGCTTTGTTCAGCTGACTGCTGTCAGACAGACACAGCTAGGCTTTTAACAACGAACAAAAAATAATTTAAAAAAAGTTATGGTTTCCATAAAGATATTAAGCAGCACTATTTTCAACATTGATAAATGAATGATAATAAATATTTTCGTAATGGTTGCTGAAAATTCTGCTTCACCATCACAGGAATAAATTACATTTTAAAACATATTAAAAGAAAACAGTTTTTATTGTATTTCTGATTAAATAAATGTAGCCTTGAGAAACGAAAAATCTTACCGGTTTTGAATTGTAATGTTGATAAAAACGCAAAAACTGGGCAAAACCTTTCACCTAGTATGATATGAGTATTTCAATTCAATTCAAGGACAAGACTTGGCTGGAATTAGTCTTGGCTGGAATAACATGTATGTGGCAATCCTAGTTGTTTGACTGAGCCCAAAAACAGTCACCTATATTAGATGTTTTACGGTACACATGTTTCTGGTTGGCACTCTGAGCCAAGCTGTTTGTAGAGATATGGACTGGAATCAGAAGTGTCTATTGCATGCACATGGCAGAACCGCTGGGTATCTTAACAGACCATATGCATAAATTCAGAGTCACTTTATTTATTCAAGATATTAGCTTTATTGATATGCAGAAGATGATGCATATTTGCATTCTAGTAAACAGGCGATCAAAACATCCCTTCAAATGCATCCATCTCAGCTTCATATACTTGTTTTGGTCAATAATGGGATTATAGTTGTGGAGGAACTGCAGAATTCAGATACACTAGAGCCATTGAGTCATCAGCTGGGAATCTAGCCCAGCACTAGTCAAAAGACCACAATATCTCACCCTCACAAAATAAATTCAACTGATTCGTTCTAAAACACTGATTCAGGAACCAAACACATTACTGTGGCATTTAAACATGTTATGGTCTGTGTTTGGAACAATTTTTGTGGTTGCAAAGATTTACAAACCAACTAAGAATACTGTGTATACTGTTCAATATTATTAACTTCTTTAACTGTTGTATAAAACACTATCACAATCACATGCACGATCACACTCTTTTAGTCTGGATGTTAGCATGGCTCAAGTCATATTGCATATATAATAACGTACATTATCACATGCACTCTAGAATACTTCATTCTGATTGGCTAAAACTGTAAGGTCAAATATTATTATATATAACTGGATAAACCATATTCCTACATATCTGTACTAGTTTCATGTCTCTCATATAACAGGGTCCTTCTACTAACGCAACAGAATTTAAACTCAAATATTTAATGTACATTTATTTAGGTATCTGCTAAACAAATATGTCAGAAGTATAATGTATAGTCAATATTGCGAACTTAAAGGTTTTTTTTTCTGCTTAGTATCAAGGCCATAATCATTCTGTCTGGGTTTATTTTGCGATAATGACTGACTATACATTATCCTTTACATAATTGCACACTGCAATCATGTATCATCAAGGTGAAAATGTTTCTTTATCAACCTTTTCCATTGCTATGACAAACATGCATTTTACCTTTCATTTTCTGCTTTAAAATTCACAGATGGATGAGGTTAAAAATAGCTCAGTGTAATCTCACATTCACAGCTTCTGGTATGCAGGCCACTTTCTATCGGTGTCACATCTAGTGTACATGTGTGTGTGTGTGTGTGTGAATAGGTGAAAGATCCTGTAAAAGATGACAGTGTCCTCACTCTGACCTCTACATCCAGACACTGAGCTCCAACTGGGTCTGTCCTGCTTTCAACTGGGAAACAGCCCTGGGCCCGTCCCTGAACCCGAAAATTTAGTCTGGGTTAAATCAGGATCGTGTGTGGCTTGATTTGAACCTAATCACAGCCCAACTGGACATAGTTCAGGGGGAAAAAATATAGCATGTATTTTTCTGATATATGCAATTGCTGAAATATAAAATCAAATGATTGTAGAGAGTAATATAACAGAAGCTTCTTGTTCCTATAATCATAAATTATTACGGATACTATATGACTGAAATTAAAGTACATTTCTGTAGCATAAGGAACCAAGCTTTTCTCTCCTCCTATTAAACTGTACACTTAAACAGTACAGTAATATATTAATATTATCATTAAAAACAAATCACCAGCTGCAGGTTGTAAACCTCTCACCATAACTCATTGCTCTAGTGACCTCCAAGGTCACTCTGTCTAATATTACAGGAAATGTGACTGCAATTTACCAGGTTATACCAGGCTCTGTAAAACAGCCACTTGATAAAAAGAGGTTGAAACAATGGAGAAATTGTTCTGAATGAAGAAAAAGCAGCTTTTTTGTTCCAGGAGTTGCAGAAATAGCCTTGCAAACCCTGAGGCACGCTTGGCATGCATTTATTTTTTCGATTGGAAAGGTTGAAAATACATTTGGACTGTTACTGGACCTCAAACATGCACAGGTACATCAACATCTTCTAATAATGAGTCTCTAGTGAAATGCACAAGCGTGAAATGCACCAGTATGAGATATGCTGTAATACACACAGCAAACATTAGACCAAAAAAGAAAAAAAATGCAAGCATTTAAAAATGGACACTAAAGCTATATATTCACACACAAACTATTTTTAAACAAGCAAGCAAACTGAAAATAGTCAATATCACTGTCTAGCGAGAGTGTAAAACAACCTACACTGAACAGATTTCATTGTGGACATTATGTAAGACTCAAAGGTCGATGTGTCTGCGTTCAAAGCTAGCAGGCCACTCACTATCTGATAGAACTCATATATGGTGAAATATTGACTCGTCTCCTTTAACCACTCATTAGAGAAACAGCACTGCAGTATTTTTGGATTAAAACGCTACAAAGAAGCAAATAAAACGCAATTAGACTATCATTGTTATTGACTCCTATCTTTTTCTGAGGGAGTTTTAGGGTATTCTCTTCAGACAAACAAATTAAAAGTATTGCGTGGATTACCATGTTAAATAATGGGATTATCACAAAGCTTGTATTTGAATATACCATCAGATGTCACGTTCAGTAGGTGCTTATCTTATTGGTGTTTATCTGGAATGTACACAACCCCAGTAAACAAGAGATTAGGGTTGAACTTTCTGAACTAGGCCATCAACAAATCAAGCATTGATTAATCAAACTGTGAGAGTTATGGTCATCTCATCATCTCACTAGCTGAAAAAAAGAAAACTAGATGCTAGGTATTGAAATTGAATAGAAAAATAAATACAATCATGTAAAATGTAATTTTAAATCATGTTCTAAAAATGTCATTTTAATAATACCTTGTTATAAATAACTTTTTGCAGTTGTATCATTGTTTTTATGTTATTAATCGCTAGACTGAATATTGCATTTTCAATTTTTAATTGCGTTTTTTTAATTAATCATGATTATCAAATGATAGACTCCTTTATCAATATATCCTTGATCATGATCGATTGATTTATTTCATTTATTGATTTACTGATATCTAAAATATATGTAGAACCATCTAAAAGATCTGTAACATGAAATCCTTGGAATTTTCCTTAGAATTCAGAGCAATACATTCTAGGACAAAGAGCTCATTCAAAACATCTGAAAGTGGAATATAAAAAGGTAAACAAAGTCAGGCCGAGGTGTTAGTAAATGCATTGCAGCCAACCGAGAGCATGTTGCGGTCAAAACCAAGAATCAATAATTACAGTATAATAATGTGAAGCCATTCCAACGGTCATTAAAGGCATCTGCAGCTGCCTTATTCCTGAAAGAAGCATTAATATGTTCTGGCAAAAAAAATACCTTTAATAAAAAGCCCTATAAAGAGACTAATCACTACCCAGTGCATTACCTGACCAAACATGTGAAAAAGAGAAAACAAGCTGTTATTTGTATAAACGGCTATTTTATTGGGGGTTACAGTAACCTGAAGATTCCTTCTGGATGGAAAGATCAAGATTTCTAGGTAAATGAAAATGAGTTTGTATGAGGTTACAAAAGAATAAGTTGCCCATAAATACCAGTAGGAAATGGTAAAGGTCATAAAACGTACAACTGAAAAAATAAACAATATTTGGTCATATGCTTTAGTATTAAGACCACAGATAA